AGGGAGCTGAAGATTCGAGCTGCCAAACGTCAGCCTCGAAACCTTAATGACTTGGAGAAGATCTGCAAAGAGGAGTGGGACAAAATCCCTCCTGAAATGTGTGCAAACCTGGTGGCCAACTACAAGAAACGTCTGACCTCTGTGATTGCCAACAAGGGTTTTGCCACCAAATACTAAGTCATGTTTTGCAGAGGGGTCAAATACTTATTTCCCTCATTAAAATGCAAATCAATTTATAACATTTTTCGAGATGCCTTTTTTTCTGGATTTTGTTATTTTGTCTCTCACTGTTCAAATAAACCTACCATTAAAATTATAGACTGATCATTTATTTGTCAGTGGGCAAACGTACAAAATCAGCAGGGGATCAAATACTTTTTTCCCTCACTGTATGCGTATACGGCCTATATGGGAGACAATACAGTAATAGTGTGTTTATTGTATTACATTTCCAAATTTTACTAAGATTGTTGGATTAAGTGTGTTTTCTCTCTCTCTCTCTGTGTCCCTCGTGTTGTTGCTCTATTATTTCCTGCAGTCACGAAAGCTCCAAATCTCTCATTGATATGCTAATTCCTCTACCCCCCCCCCCTCTCTCTTTCTGCCCCCTTGTCTCTCTATTTAAGGCCTCGACATAGAGGCATTGTTTCTCTGTGTGCCTATGTGTGTATGTCTCCGTTTGTATTTGTGAGTCTCTCCCTGCTTGTGTCTGTCTGTGCGTCTCCATGTCTGTTTTGTCTCTCTCTCGAATTTAGCAATCTTTGGAAGAACGTAATCAACCAGGTGGGGTGTTGACTGTTTTGTTGGCCGACTCTGTGTTGTTTTGCATTATATTTCCAAGTTTGCTATGTTTGTTTTCTCATTCATTTGTACCTGATGATGGTTGCTTGTGTTGCAATCGAATAGTCGTATTCTATTATTATTTAATTTCTTTCTACGTAACTTTACCGAAAGAATCAAAGAGTAACTCACGACTAACGAACGCGGCTTCTTTGAAAATACAAGCGGTAACTTGCACACCATTGAGTGCCAAAAATGTCATCTTCCTCATGCTCACATTTTGCGATGGATGAGGGAAAAAATTCATACAAGTAACATTGACACATTTATCAGTGCTGAGCTACCTGACCCCCATCAAGACCCTGCCCTTTTTTGTGGTCTGCAAGCAAATGGTCCATGGCCCATGTGGGCAGTTTAATCCAAATTCGGCATGTATGCAAGACTGCAGGTGTACTAAGAAGTATCCACAAAACTTATTGAAAGACACTCAGTCGAGCCATGATGGCTATCCTCTATATCATCGCAGAAATACTGAGCATGGTGGATTTGAAACAACGCTCAGACCTGCCACTAACTCTCAAATGAAGGTTGACAATCGGTGGATCGTTCCCTGCTGCCCTCTTCTGTGCAAGATCTTCGAGGCACACTTTAATGTGGAATTCTGAAATTCTGTGAAAGCCATCAAATATGTTTGCCCAGACATCAACAAAGGCTCTGACATGGCTGTCTTTGCCTTAAAAAACAGAGGGGCAAAGTGTGGATGAGGTTAAAAATGTTGTCCAAGTAAGATACATCAACAGCAATGAGGCAATTTGGAGAATTCTTGGCTTCGCCATCCATGAGCATTCCCCACAGTAATCCATTTGGCAGTTCACCTCGAAAATGGTCAATGCATCTACGTCACCAAAGGAAATGCCCAACAACAGGCCCTGGCTCCACAAGATACCACCCTGATGGCAATCTTTGTTTTGTGCCAGTGATCCATATGCTGTCAACGTGCTCTACCATGAAGTTCCCTCCTACTATACATGGATTGCTAAAAAAAAATGAAAGCGACGTGCTGCTCACGGTGATTCTGATGCCTTACGAAGAGTCTACACAGTTCATCCCCAACAATCAGGAGTGCTACTTTCTCCGAATGCTTCTCCATGTTGTCAAAGGGCCAAAATCTATCCAAGACCTCAAAACAGTGGGAGGAGTTGTCCGAAAACATACAGGGAAGCATGCAATCTTCGTGGAATTCTTGAAGACGATCAGCATCTTGATAAAGCTATGCCAGAATGTTCTGCTAGTCAGTCCCCTTCCCAACTGAGATTGCTCTTGAGCATAAATCTTCAAGTTTGCAGCCCATCTAACCACATGGGACTCTGACAAAAATACAAAGAGGGCATGAGTGAGGACATCCTCCACAGAGCTCAAGAAGAAAATCCAAACCTCGACGTCAACTTTTCTGATGTCATCTTCAAACAGGCCCTCATCCTCTTTTAGTGCAAACTGCACTCCATTGGTGGAAAAGACCTCACGTCTATGGGACTACCAACACCCTACAGGAGGGACAACCTGCATGCCCTTGCTCAAGAGATCCTACGTGAAATATCCTGAGGTTTAGAGCTTCTTCAATGTATTGAGAAAAATTAACCAAAGCTGATGGATGTGTAACGGTGTTATTGGGCAAATGCACACCGTCTCTGGGGGATAGCTACTACTTACCGATAGGGGTCAGTCGATGGGTTGAGCCAGTACCAGGGGAGTATGACCCAAGGGGTAAATAGTCAGCCGGGAAAATGGATCCTTGAACGAGTGGGCACAGCCCCATGGGGCAATGATGTCACCCTTCCAGAACCTGGTGGAAGGTTCGGGAAGGGAGGCATGACTAGGGCGGAGCAAGCCACGGAGCAAGATAAAAGGCCGGACCCAGGAGGGTCCGGGCAGTCGTGCCAGCTGAAGACAGAAGAGCCAGTGAAGACTGAAGACCGGCTAGCTAGGGGACTCTGGGACTCCTCTGATCCACCGTCCTTCTCAGGGCCGGGCAGAGTGAGCCCGTGGTGCGACCCGGGAAGCCTCAGAGCCCGACTTCTTTATCAGGGCTGGGTCCGTGTGGCTGGAGGTCGAGACCTGTACCGTGACCAGGGTCAGGTCAGCTAGCCTGCCCTAGGACCCTCTTAGCCGGAGGACCTGGGACCATAGCTAGGACTAGGGCGAGTTAGCCGAGGGCATATCTCCCCAGCTATCAGCGGGTGAAGGGGCCAATACCCCTTCAAGTGTAACGACTGTATTGTGTTAAGCTATGTCTTGTAATGAAGAAGCGTTGCCTCTACCAAGTTTTTCTACGCCGTTTTAAGAACCCACTACAGATGCACAAAGAGAAGCCTCCACGAAAATCTTGGAAGACATTTAGACTAAAAATGGAGTCCTTTTTTTCCTTGATGCACCTGGCAGTACTGGGAAGACCTTTCTTCTCAACCTGCTCCTCGCTAAGGTTCGCCAAAGGGAAAAAATTGCTCTAGTTGTGGCATCATCGGGGATTGCTGTCTAAGTCGATATGTGTGTCAGTCGATGTCTGTGTGTGTGTGTAAGTCGATGTGTGTGTCTTTTCCGCCTGGGTAACACCGGGTACCGTATTTTCCCGCATATAGCCCGCATACGCATATAACCCGCAGATGCATATACCCCACAAAAATAGCGTTTTGTGTAAAACAAATTTCAGATAGCCCGCACCTCCATATACCCCGCATGCATTCATATCTTTAACGTCGTTACTGCAGCTTAATTCCTTGTGTTGCAGTCGAAACGTCGTGATAATGTTATTGTTTGATATTTTTATTATTTTATTGTTTCCCTTCTACGTGACTTTCCCAAAAGAACCAAGAATATGAATCCCTGCAGTCACGAAAGCTTTAAATCAAAATTTTATTCCATCATATTAATAGAAAGTTTACATTTGTAATACGTTTCACTATCAATTGTTAACATTAAAATCACAACGTGCACAAAGAAAACAAACTACGGTAACCGGAAACGAGTGAACTTAAAACAGTAAATAAGTAACAAAAGTAAATATCCAATAAATAAGTAACATAACTGGTAGATGAGTAAGCGTACTGTTAGGCTTACCAGCATTCGACCTCATCATATTACAGCTATTAGACCGGTAGTTACCCCTGTACAGTTTTAGCACTGATAGATTACGCACCGCGCAGACAATAGCGGCACTACGGTTGGGCCATTGACTCCTGGCAACAAAGCAATTGGAAGTTTGAAACAAAGCTCATGGTCGCGACTGTATAGTGCTCAGCCAATAGCAGCGGCCTAAGGGACTCAGCAATTATGATTCCGCGTCTGGTAGATGCTTGTTAAGGCCCTTCCGATTGTGCAATCCATAGCTTCAGCTGAAACTTTCACACCCCCTACAGCCACTGAAAGTATTACAGTAAACAAAGGGCGCCCGTTTCATTGTACAAACAATTCGAATAATTTAAAACGTAATAACACGTGCAATTTTAGTATGAGTGGTTTACTCAGCAGTGCTTTAGTCAAAGGTTAAGTGTTGCATAGTGGATAGTCCTACCATGAAAACATTTAATGAGTTATGACATGTCACACGTGTAAAATATTTTTGGGATAGCCCGCACCTCCATATACCCCGCAGGGTCTTGTTTTGTTTGTAAAAAGTGGCATACCCCGCGGGTTATATGTGGGAAAATACGGTATTTCCCACTAGTAGTTAATATACTTTACTGCAAATACAAACTTGACCATGTCACACACTGGCATGGTAAAAAGGTGGTGGTGTGTCCAGAACCATGCCTAGCCGCATTTATCTGCTCAGTATTAATGCTTCCTCACTTCACCATGTAATTAATTTAAGATCAATAAACATAGCAGAGGCCCACAATAAGTTAAGTTTTTACTTATCAATCGTGTTTGCTGTTGGCGAAAATCAAACTCTAATTGTTGAGTTCATAATGCAGTGAAATAACTGCACCACCGCTCCCCACATAGATAAACTCTTACATACACATACATTTCACATGGATCATTAACATATTCTATAAACAAAACATCCAGCGTTCATGACGAATTGGAAGTACCATTATCACAGTGCTAATGCCATGATAGGTGCAATTTAAGGTCATGTAAATGGCCTTAAATTGGTCTCATATGGACTAGACCATGGCGATGGACACTCACAGCTTTGTATAGAGCAAGGGTCCAGGCACCTTCCACAGAGTGTTACACAGTCTAATGAAATAATACTGCTTGACTCATTTTAAGTGAGAGTTTGGCTGCCAAACCAGAGCTGGTCGTGAACACATTAACCATGTATGGGAGCTCCTCCACCACTTGTAGAACTGCCTGATTATTCATGGAGAGTTGAGCAGGTGCAGTGTTGTATGACATTAAATTCCCAGGCAGGCGATTTGTGTGGAACATTTGCAGGGCCTCATTTCATGATGGAATTATCAAGCCACAGAACAAGATTCCCTAATTCCATCTCATTAAGTAGCCATTACCAGATCATCAGCAGATGTAACATGGTTGACCAGCAGGAAACGATCCTTTAACTAAAACCAGACATCGATTAGCGTATCATTGTAACCGTAACAAATGAAATGTTTTTATATGACCATTGGGAGCTTCTCAAACTACATAGTTATAGAAGATGCCATGTGTAGTGACATCGTTGGATGTCACTGTGTGAAGCTGGCCTGGGAGAGAGGCACGGCATGCCACGTATTGACATCGCAGACACCACTGAAGGTGGATGCAGTACCGGCCCTAGCGGGACTCGGGAAGCACTGACTGAGAGCAATGGATGGCACCACGCTCTGCGTGCAGTGCCAGCCCCTACAGGATAGAGTGCAAGGGTGCAAGCCACGAAACGGGGTTGCAAGGGGCCATGGCACTCTGGGTGACACCCGAGGACACGTGACCGGAGATGATGTTTGCGCGTGTTGCAATCGAAACGTCGTGATATTTTTTTATCCACTTTATTTTCATTTTTGTATTCTTTTATTATTCTTTGTTCTATCTATGTGACTTTACCGAAAGACCCAAAGAATATGAATTCCTGCAGTCACGAAGGCTTTAAGTCAAGATTAAACTGCTGTCAACGTGTATGCCAAAATTGAAGCTTCATTCGATTAAACACACCAGATGGCAAAACATCCAACATTGTCTATCTTGAAGCTCTCCAAGGGTAACGAATTTAAAAGCTGTCCTCATTATGAAACAAACAATTCCTGCGATTGTATAACAACCAAAAAACCGTGACAATATACACACATTCACAGACTTCATTGGCAGAATTCAATAATTCCAATAAAGCCAGAATTGCAAGGCATTACTCTTAATATTTGATTACTGAGATCTGTGTGAAGCAGGGTAACTTAGTTATTGCCAAATAAATACTATACTTCTGATGATCATGTTTGTGCATGAGTGGGGAGCGGTAGGTAGTGCAAAGGTTAGCGTGCTGCGCTATAAACAAAACGACCTGATTTATATTCCCACAGAGCCAAGCCACAACATTTGGCTGTCGCCTGATGAAGCTGGTTATAATTACTGGCGAAACGTCGTACTCAGATTGTAAATGTTGTGGCTTGGCTCCCCAACACACAACCAGTGTGCTGTACTAGTGACGAACTGACCACGTTCTGTTTACATGACAAACCTTACCAATCAGCTGTGTCGGGTGGTGGCGGGTTTAACCCCACCTTTATATATTTACGCAATCTAACCCAAACAAACCTGTACTACGGATGTATAGTTGGAGTTTGTGTGTCTCTCTCCCTGTGGTCGCGTGGATTTTCCTCCACATTTAGAGTCAACATCACCACGCGTTTAGAGTATTGATTGATATACATTTCCACACGTTAAGCCACTTTGTTGTGTGTAGGTCGCTTCCGAAAAAAGAGCGGTATAACCCAAGTGGGCTTGGCCTTGGTAAGATTAAAAAAACTGTAAAATCATTTCAAAGAAACAAAGTTTCAAAGTAGTGAGCCAGGTGAAGACAATTTTAACTTAAGCAGAGAATTAAATATATAGAAACACAGATACAACTTCAACCGAGAGGATGGGTACATACTGAGCAATCATTGGAAGGACGTTAATAGCCAGGTAAAGTCTTAACTGACTGATGTTTCCATCCTACCTGCCTATGTCAGCTGTTATTTCGACTCTCTGTGTCTCTCTCTAAGATCTATCATGCTCACATGTCCGTTGCATTGCACTCTCATGCCTCTTGGATTGCACTCTCATACTCGCAGGCCCTTCGGATTACACCCGTTGGGTTGCACTCCCTCGTCAAGGAGGCCGCTCTTCTTCTCATTTTCTACAGTTACATGCTCATATCTCACATCAACATCATGCTAGTCTCTCACATTAACATAGCCACTCCCGTGCCCTCTAATTTCTCACATTAACATCATGCTAATCCCTCACATTAACATAGCCACTCCCTTGCCCTCTAATTGCTCACATTAACATCATGCTAATCCCTCACATTAACATAGCCACTCCCGTGCCCTCTAATTTCTCACATTAACATCATGGTAATGCCTCACATTAACATAGCCACTCCCGTGCCCTCTAATCTCTCACATTAACATCACGCTGATTTCTCACATTAACATCACTAGCCCCGGCCACTTTTTTTTATAACCCTTGAGCTACACCCATTTCAAACCTTTTAAAACAGTCTGCCTCAGCAGCAGACCATGCTTTCCCACCTGATGATGGACGCTTGTGTTGCGCCCAAAACGTCGTGATTTATTTTATTTTAAACCTACGTGACTTTACCGAAATAACCAAAGAGTACAGAGAATTAAAGCAAATGCAATCAGGCGAGGGCAGGAGGTAAGGCCCCGCATGGCTAGGCCCCGCGTTGTAAAGTTCCAACCTGGACATCGATTCCATATTCGCTGCAACTCAAGAGAGGAGCGAGGCTCTTAACTGAGTAAACAACAACAATCACCACAACAACAACAACCACGATGTGAACTTCTCACCTCGGATATCTGTGAGCGCAGGCGCGCGGATCGGCAACTTCCTGGTATATCGTGACGTCATGCGACAGCAGGTGACATGACGTCACTAGCGGGACACACCTCCCCCTCGCGTCTCACGCCGATGACGCAATGCAGTGGTGACGTCAGAGAGCGAGTTTCGTGTTTAAGTTTATTTAAATCTTGACTTAAAGCTGTCGTGACTGCAGGAATACATTCTATGGGTCTTTCGGTAAAGCCACGGCCTCAGGGCGCTCTCCAACCTTACATTTACATACAAATACCATCTCTAGCCCCGCCCACTTACCCTTGAGGGCCGTCAATAAATGACGTCACGCAATTTTTGGCCGATATTTGACCACCCCTCCTTCGCCACATAGCGTCCCAAAAAGTCAAACCCCCCTCAAATATGACGTCACAAAGCTCTGCCCCCCCACAAAACATGAAACATGCTTCAAATCGGTTTAAACTATTGTCATTGTAGTGCGTATTTAGTGTGGCGCTGCACTCTGATGTTGTAGGAAAAAAACATTTATTAATAAGTAGAACGTGTTGTCTGTTTATTTAAAATTGCGCATTTTGATGTGACGTCACATTTCTCAACCCCCCCCCCTCGTCACACATCGTCACAAATGTCTGACCCCCCTCCCCCCACTAGGTGTGTGACGTCATTTATGGACGGCCCCTTGGGCTGCACCCATGCCAGGCCTATTTCACGTCCTGCTTCAGCAGCTCTCTCGCTGTGTTTTTTTTACACCTGAAGACGATCGCTTGTGTTGCCATCGAAACGTCGTGATTTTTTTATTATTTTTATATCTGCTTGGCTTTACCGAGAGACCCACAGAATACCATGTGCATACACACACAATAATGTTCACGTTGTTGTTGAGCTCACGCACCCAAGGGGTCAATGTTCAAGAGAGAGGGAGCAATGGAAAAGGAATCTAAATAAACTCAAACCCCCCGCTCTCTGACGTCACAACTTCTCATTACCTCATCGGTGTGAGACGCCTAGGGGAGGTGTACCTCGCTAGTGACGTCATGTCACCAAGGTTTTCACCCCAACCCCCCCTTCCACCGCGCTTTGCAGCGTGACCTCGCGTCTGGTTGGTCACTGTCGATTTCCGTTGCAGTAAAAATCCTTATTTGGGCACAGCTACCCCCAGTCACTGGCGGTTCATTAACATAATTTATTGATAAATACCGTCGCGAGTTCACTGCGACTGGTTCAGCATCCACGCCTCATCACTGTACATGAGCCCGTCTCATTAACATAATTTATTCAGGTTCACTGCCGCCGGTTGGGGGAGGGGATTGTGTGTGAACTCTGTAAGTGACGTCATGGCATCTCCTGCTGCCGCGTGACGTCACGATATATCCGGAAGCTGTTGCACCGCGCGCGCTCTCACTGAGATCCGAGGTGAGAAGTTCACATCGTGGTTGTTGTTGTTGTGGTGGTGGTTGTTGTTGTCGTGGTTGTTATTGTTTACCCAGGTAGAGCCTCGTTCCTTCTCTCTCGTAGGGGTATCAATTGAGTAGCAGCGAGTATGGAATCGATGTCCAGGTTGGAACATTACAACGCGGGGCCTAGCCTTGCGGGGCCTTGCCTCCTGCCCCCGCCTGATTGCATTTGCTTGAATTCTCTGCTAAAGTTTAATTTGTCTTTACCTGGCTCACTACTTTAGTATCAAAATATAAGAAGAGCTTTTCCCCTTTTTTTCTGGCAACAAAACAGGTTTTAAGATGTTAACCTTTTACAATGAATCATGTCTGCATTAACCACATATACTTGTGATCAAAATGCAAATAAAAAACATGCTCTGATAGTACAGTATATGCATTGTCTGTGAACATGATTGGTCCACACCAGAGACAGATTTCTTTACGGTGTTAGACCAGAGGACGCCAAAAGGCGAACAGCACAAAGACAATGCCACTATCAGAACAATGAGAGCTCGGGGCGAGCAGCTACTTCATGGGACCTCCTTTGCCAGTATCAAAATATAAGAAGAGGTTTTCCCCTTGTATCATTTATAGATTTATACTTTTTTTTGTCTTGGAATATTTTTTGTATACGGTTTCTCAGTGTTTATTTCAATTGTTTAGTTTATTTGGAACACAGTACAGTACTTGATTTGAAGCTTTCGTGACTGCAGGAATTACTCTTTGGTTATTTCGGTAAAGACACGTAGAAAGAAAATGCATTAAATAATAGATTAGGACGTTTCGATTCCA